ATCATATCCCTCCACCATTTAGGATCAGTCTTAGGACTGTGGTGTGCAGCGGTGGGGTGCGTCTGTGGTTGCTACGTTTGTGATGCTCCAGGCTTTTGCAGTGTCCTGTGGCTCAGGGTAGGTGCACAGCGTCCTGTGGCAGAGAGGTGGGGCTCTGGGAAGGTGAGGCCTAGGCACGGGGGCACTTGTGGGCCTTATAGTGGAGATGCCACCGCGTGGCCAAACATTCCTCACAGGTAACTCCTGCCGCTGGGATCATTGCGAGAATTAAATGAAACAGCGACAGCGTGTTAGGTATCTAGAAGGACGGTTTCACAAATGTTAGTTTTCTTTCCCTCAATCAAGGAAAAAAAAAAAAAAGAAAAAGATGTGGGACAATCCCGATGTTTGCAGTTTTTGCTTGTTCTATTCTAGGCCTGTGCAGTTTTCATTCTTCAACCCTTTGCCTACACCCAGAGAATAAGGAAGGCAAATTTAAAAGCATATCTCAAACCTGGTCCTCAGACTTAACCTCTCTGAGTGTGGGTTTCTGTGTCGCGGCCACCAGTCTGGGCTCGTCTGCTGACGGCTTCCTCAGTGCAAACCTAGTCAACTGTTTCAGTCACCAAAGCGAGAATCTCATTGAAATTTCAGAAATATTAAATATGCCAATCATTCCGATTTGTGTTTGCATTTGTCCGTCTTTATTTCCCTAAACCAAAAATAGCTTTAGCAATCCGCGTCCTTTGCGTTGTATTTCTAGGCACACAGAGCACCAGGCAGATAGAATCTGTCTCAGCGTGGAATTCTGATCGTCTGCTCCCCTCTGCCACTGCTCTCCTAGAGCTGACTTACACCTCTCCGCACATTTTCATCTTCCTGAGATCCTGGGAATCCTGTGCGAGTCTTGGCCACTGGGATTTTCTCCCACCACGCCCAGGATCGGGGAGAACTGAACCTCGGCCGTTCCTCGGCATGGAATCCTGATTTCCTTTTCTCCCGCACCCTTCCCACTCAGCGCCCTAAAACGAGGATATGCTTCTTTGAATCAGGAAATGCAATGCGGACAAACAGGTGACCAGACGTTTCCATTCCAAGCCCGGGCGCTTCAGACAGGGAAAGGGGCGGGCTGAGCACGGCTCTGGACGCCAGCCACCCTCATCCCTGTCCTCATCGTTGCTTTCCTGCCCGCTGGGAAAGGAGCAGGGAGAAACACAGGCGGTGCGAAAGTGCGTCCCACACCTGCCCATGCACACGCGCTGGGTGTGAGCGCGTGCAGGCGGGAGGAAAGCGCTCAGAGCAGGTGATCGAGGCTTGGACAGGGCTGTGGAGGCCGTGGGAACAGAAGCAGGAGGTGGTACTGTGTGCCAGTACCCAGCCTGGGTGCTGGGGACAGGGACGCCCGGTCCTGCATTCCTGGAGCTGAGGGTGGAACCTCGGGGTCACCGGCCGGCCCTGCTCGGGCCTCTGCTTTCTTCTCTGCCCCAGTCCTGGAGCCCCTGGCAGAGTGGCTGTGATGCTGAAGGGGGCAAGAGGGCCGAGGGTGGGGACGAGCCAGTCCCCTTTGTCTTGTCTCTTCCTTGCTCCGTCCTCCTCTGTTGGAGGCGGTTCTGCGTAGAGCAGACTCCAGCCCAGAAGAGCTCGCTGTGTATTTGTACCCATCAGCCCTAGGCTGGGTGCATTTTCTTATGCTAACTCCCTTTTATTTTTGATTTTTGTTTTTTGAAATAAGGTATCGCTATGTAGTTCAGGCTGGCCTCGAACTCACAGGGATCCTCCTGTTTTAGCCTCCTAAGTGCCGGAGAAGACAGGTGTGCACCACCACACCTGGATTTTTCCAACTTCCAGTGAATAATCCAACTGCCTAAAGTGGTCCTAAGTTCACCTCCACCAATTTCCTTGAATTCTTTGTCACCCTCATGTAGGTAACATTAAAATACTACATGCCCTTTAGACGCATCACAGAAAGATTTGTCAATCAGCATCCTGGGCTTATAGGAACATAAATCTTGTGCCAAACAAATCTGAAGCCTTTAAGGGCCCCTTTGAGATTGAATGGGCCTCTTATACAAATTGTGGTTGGGGATGTTGGTGTATGCCTGTAATCCCAGCACTTGGGAGGCTGAGGCAGGAGGATCATTTGAGTTCAAGGCCAGCCTGAGCCGCACGGGGGAGCCGCACGGGGAGACTCTGTCCAAAAAAATACAAATTGTACCTGTGTATTTGTTCAGTTAGCTAGAACCATTAAGTCACACTTCTGTTTGGTAGTAATTACAGTTTATAATATTTATGATGTTTTATAAACCGCTCTGCTGTTCCAGGGTGTCAGGCATTTCCTGTTCCACACTCTTCTTGGCTGTTTAGGTTTTGTGTCATCTTTAATGTCAAGTAGGAGGGAGCTTTAAAGGAGACAAGTGGTTCAGAAAGCTGGAAAATTTGAGACAGCCCCTGGCGGGGAGGGAGAGTGGTGATTTATGATACCTTTAAAATTGGCATGTAACCTTGCAGCATTAGTAGACCAGGATAAGCTCACGTCTCTCTCTGCCTGCAAGAAAGGCAGAATACTGTGGGAAAGGATGATATATATATAGCTCTAGACATTTGATGTATCTCACTTGTTGGGTTAGTGTCTGGGTCATGTCCACAAAGGCAAGCTGAAAAATCTGTCTGTATTCCTTTAACCTTACCTTTTGTGTCTCAAGAATTGCGTGGTGATTGTGATTTTCTTAGACACACTGGTTGCCTTGATTAGATTTCATTTAAAGAATGTTCTTTTTGTTATTCTGGGAAGTCATTTTGGTAGATCAAAAATATAAATTTTCCTGTGTCTTGTTGGGATAGAATTCTTTTGTCATACAATTTTAGTTATTAAAATCACTGGGAAAAAATAAGTTGCACCAGAGAAGAAAGAGTACAAAGAGTGATTCACCTTTTATTTAAGGCTTAATACTGCTGACCGAGGGCAGCTAATTTAGAAGTGAGTCATTTATAGAAAGTTCTACCCAGTTCGAGGGAGGGCCTTGTAAATACCCTCACAGACTCTAAATAGAGCACACAGTATCGGGTTTCCAAATATCTGTCTCATGGCCAGTTTTCTGTCTTTCCCAAGCTGTGACACCCGTTTCTGGATGACAGGAGCTACTGACAAGGTTAAGGCGAAGGCACCAGGAGTGAAATGATACATATTTTAGAATAAATCTTAGTGAGGCCATGTATTATACTGGGAGAATAAAGAGCATGAGGTTGAAAATGACGGTGTTTATAATACAAATAAATGAATATAACTAGTCAGCTTAACATTATTATTATTATTATTATTATTATTATTATTATTATTATTATTTTGGTACCAGGGATCAAACTCAGGACCTTGTGATTGCCAGGCAGGGGCAGTGCCACTGAGCTACATCCCTGGCATAAAATTTTTTAAACTGGAAGCAATATTTTAAAAATTAATTATTCAAGTTAAACAATAATGCAAAAAAAATTTTTTTTGAGACAGGGTCTCACTATGCAGTTCAGGAGGCTGGCTATGAATTCACTGTGTAGCCCATGTTAGCCTCAAACTTGTAGCAATCCTCCTGCCTCAGCCTCTCAGATGCTGGGATTGCGTGCATGTCCCGCCATGATTTTGCTATTTGATCAACCATCTAATACTTTCAGAGTTCATTTACAAAAGGCTCACTTTAGCAATCTGTCTTACGCTTTTCAGGAAGGGGGTGACTCATCAAATGAACACTTCATTTGGCTTGTATAAAGCATAAGACTGTATCATCTGCCTTCTGGGAGCTTCCAGTTCAAAGCTGAATCCACGTTTAAATCACAGCTACAGCATCAGGGGTTAGGAAAAGCCCCACAGGACTGGGGTGTAGCTCAGAGGTAGAGAGAGTGTGTGCCTAGCTCATGCCAGATCCTGCCCACCAGGGGAAACCAGAATCCTAAAGTCTGACTCCTTGTTATGAATCTGTCCTGAACTGGCTATGTGACCCGAGACAAACTGCTTCCTGTGTCTGAGCTGATTTTCCCTTCTGTGCAAGGCTTAGTGAGGGTTCCCCACACGCCCGGCTTACAAGGATTAGCTGAGCGACCATACCTTAAATGTCTTTAACAGTTACTAGGTGTGAGAGAAACATTGCAGGGAAAAGAGCTTGTAGGGTTTGTTTTGTTTTGTTTGAGATGGTCACGCTGTGTAGCCCAGTCTGGCCTCAGACTTGAAGTGATCCTCCTGTCTCAGCTTCCTGGCCCCTGGGATCATACGCATGCCCCTCCCCTCCTGCGCCCTCCTCCCCTCCCTTATTCTGTTCCTCTTGTGTCGTAACAGCCTCTCTTCTACATTCGTGCCATCTTTTCTTTTCGCTCCTTCTTTTGGTGAGTTTAGATTTCACACATTAGGGGAAACGTGATGCTTGTCTTTCTGAATCCGGCTTATTTTACTTAACATGATCTCCGGGTCCATCCGCTTTCTGGCAAAAGACAAAATTGGCTTCTTCTCCTTTATGGCTGAACAGCACCCCACTGTGTATGCAGGCACGTTTACTTTGTCCACTCCTCTGCCCAGGGGCACCTTGGCGAGTTCCGTACCTCGGCTAGTGCGAATTGTGCTGCAATTCATGGCCACGCGGATGACCCTGGAGTGCCTGCCTTCTTTGGGTGTCCACCGAGGAGTGGTAGCCGGATCATTTGGCCGATCTAGTTGTAGTTTTTGAGGAACTTCCACACTGATTTCCACAGTGGCCGTACTAATTTCCTTTCGCACCAGCAGTGTAGAAGGGTCCCTTTATCCTCAGCAGTGTTTATTGTTTTTTTGTATTCTTGATGGTCGCCATGCTGACTGGGGTGAGACGGATGGACTCCGAGAGTAAGTTTGGATTTGCGTTTCCATACACGCACATTTTATGCTGTGTACTTTTGCATCACAAACTGAGGACTCTTTCACTTAATAACTTCTTTTTTGGGAATAAATTGATGACCAGATGTTTTCCTGACGGAAACTGACCTAACATACTTCTGTCTTTTTGCAGATCTTGTATTGCACCTTAAACACACCTAAAATTGACATGCAGAGACTCCTAGGAGGGCAACTAGGTCTTGAAGATTTCATTTTTGCCCATGTGAAAGGACTGAAAAAGGAAGTGAATGTCTATAAATCCGAGGACTCACTTGGACTCACCATTACAGATAACGGTGTTGGCTGTGCTTTTATCAAGGTAGGTTCAAAACAAAACAAAAGACACAGGGTGGCCTAAATCAGGATGTCCCTTAAGAAAACAGAGGGGGTTGAAGAGAGCTCGAACTGACCTGCAAAGCAAGAGCTGATCAGCAGGAAAGCGTGGCTTGCTAATGTTTCTCTTTCATTTAAAAAATATTCAAGGACATCGTTTCTTGTTTACTGTTTTGTCGAATTTCTTTGCTTCGGTGTACACTTCCTCTAGAATGTTAAACTTTCTGAGGAGGAAAGAAAGACACTGGCCCTGTGCCTGCCGCCCAGCCTTGCCTGCTTTCCAGGTCTGTGGCTCGAATCTGCCGATTTCCCGCTGAGCTCTGGGCCATGGCGTTGCTTCCGGCCACACAGGTTTCTTTCTTGCTTCCTTCTTTACTTCTTTGAAAGTGCACTTTAGAACGCCCTGAGCTGGATTATTTCTGTAGTTAATCACAAAGAGTAACGTAGACTTGCAAAGGCAAGAGAAAGAAGTTGGGGATGGCATGGAGACATAAGAACTAAGGAGCAGGAAAAAGAGAGGCTTTTCTTAAAAATAATTCAGTTGTAACGGGACCAGTTGCCCCTTGGTGGCTGAGGGGGAGTCTGTCCCAGAAGCCCCATGGACGCTGGAGACTTTATATACATGGCGCGGTGTTTTGAATGTAACCTATATGTCCCCTCCTGTGTATTTTATATCATCTCTAGATTGCCTATAATACCTAACAAAATGTGAAGTTGTTGTACTTCAGTAGTTGTACTGTATTTTGAGAGGAATGATGACAAAAAGAAATTTGTACATGTTCAATACAGATGCAGGTTTTTTCCTGTTTTGGAAATTGTGTTTTTGAGACAGTCCTGCTACGTAGCCCAGTCTAGCCTTGAATTCGTGGCAGTCCTCCAGCCTCAGCCTCCTGCGTGCTGGAGTTTCAGGCCTGCACCACTACACTGGTGTGAGGCAATCAAAATTTTTTTTTTTTTTGATAACGGGAATTGAATCTGGTCCTTGTGCTTGTGAGGCAGGTGCTAGAACCACTGAGCTAAATCCTTGGCCAGCACAGTGAACTTTTTTCTTGAGACAGGGTATGTAGCTCAGGCCGTCTCGAACTCACAGCGATCCTCCTGCCTCAGCCTCCCGAGTGCTGGGATTACAGGCGTGCGCCACCATGCCTGGCTAGCACAGTGAATTTTTAACATAGCTTCATGAATGTTTATACACCAGCATGTGTCTATCACACTTGTGCCACACTTGTGCCACCTGGAAGCCTTCCTTAGCTCCTTTCTGGTCAATATTCCACCAGAAAAGTAGCCCCCTTCTTACCTCATTGTTAGCTCACTCTCGGAGTTCATGTAATTGTACCTTCTTTTTCATTTTGCGCATGGTGCCTTTGAGATTTGCCCACAGAAGGCAATCTTAGCAACCTGTCTTACAGTTGTAAAAACAGGATCAGGAAGCTTAGGCTCGTCCAAAGTTCTACCGCTAGACAAGCCCAGGATTTGAACCCAAGAAGTCCGACTCCAGAGCCAGCTGCTTACGTGCACTCAGCTAAGAGCTGGTGATAGGTCCATGTAACAGAGCGCGTTGGATGCCTTTATTCTGTCCAAAGCCTGATTACAGCTTGTCCTCATTAAGGGCTCCTTTTTGGGAAGTCCTTCTCTTAGCTAGAAACGGTGCTTCAATTTCCCGCTCCACAGAATTGCCGCTTTTAGCTCTGCAATAGATAGGGCTATGCCGAAGGTCGAGTGGGAGACCGAGTGGAAAATCCTAGTGTCGTGAAAGTCACGTGGGTTATCTGAGGGAGCTCAGGACCCGAGACGCAGGGGCGGTGCCTCTCTGTCCACAGAGACAGGCTTGGGAGTTTTGCAGACATGCAGAGCTTTTAGATGTTAGCATCAGATGTTCTGAGCTTGCGTTTCTATTTTTTGTTTAAAGGCCTTGTCACACTACGCCTACCTCAGCGTATTAGTCACTGGTCTTGTGGCCACAGCAGCTTCTCTGGTAACAAAGAAGAAAGCAGGCTAGGTGTGGTAGCCACACATCCTAGTATTCTGGGAGGCTGAAGCAGGAGGATTCCCTAGTTTGAGTTCAGAGTGGGCAACTGAGCAACTTCATGAGTCCCTGTCTTAAAAAAATAAAAAGGGGCATGCAAAGGCCCTGGGTTCAATTCCCAGCAAAACACACACACACACACACACACACACACACACACACACACACACACACACACATGCCCACAGTGGAGCATAATCCAGCTGACATACAGTTCCTTTTAAAAGAGAGATTCAGGGCCGGGGATTCAGCTCAGTGGTTCTACCACCTGCCTCACAAGTGCAAGGACCAGATTTCCATCCCTGGTATTGAAAAAAAAAAAAAAAGAGAGAGAGAGATTCATATCATATGTATATATAGTTGATAAAATATTTTAAAAACTGGGATAATAGGGTTGGGGATTTAGCTCAGTGGTTCCACTGCCTGTCTTGCAAGTGCAAAGTCCTGAGTTCGATTTTTGGTACCAAAAAAACAAAAAAAAACTGGGAGAATAATTTCAAACAAATAGAAAAATTATACTGGTAATACAAAGAACTCTTGTAAACCTGGAGTGGTGGTGCACACTGGTAATCCCAGCACTCAGGAGGCTGAGACAGGAGGATCACTGTGAGTTTGAGAAATATCTTTTCATATATTTCTAACATTTTGCTTATTCAGTTGTCAACATTGAGAATCAGCAAGGCTGGAAATGCAGGATGTTGAGGGGCACAGGATTTTAGGGTAGATACAAGGATCTGAAAAAGAGGCCTGCAAAACCAGGACAGAGGGAATGGTTTCAGATCAAGGTAATGTGACTGATCTAAAGATTGTGATATCAAGGAAGTTTCAGTAGAAGTAAGGAAATGGAAAGTGGGAAGGTAGAAGTTGTAACAAAGAGAAATTTCAGAGCTTGGCATAGTCGTAACATCATAATTCTAGCACTTGGGGGGGTTCAGGCGGGAGGGTCACCATGACTTGGAGGGCAGCCTGGGCTCCGTAGTGAGACTTTGTCTCAAAAAATAAAACCAAAAATGTCTTCAAAGTTAGGCTGGGTGTGATGATGCATGCCTGTCATGCCAGCACTCTGGGAGGCTGAGGCAGGAGAATCACAAGTAGATGCTCAGCCTGGGCAACCTAGCTACTTAAAAAAAAAAAAAAGATTGGGGATGAAGCTCAGCTTGAAGGCCCAGGGTTCAATCTTTGGTATTGCAACAAAGGAATTTTCGGCGTTCAGAGGTGATTGGTCATTTGGGGCAGGTAAAATGCAGAATTGCACTTGGGACCAGAGACCTTGGGCTGTACCTCTGACTTTTTATGTTTTACCTGTTTTTGCAGTACTAGGGATTGAACCCAGGGCTTTCACACTGAGCTTTATCCCTATCCCTTGTAGACATTTTAAAAAATTTGAGACAGGGTCTTACCAAGTTGTAGAGGCTGGGCTCAAATTTAACAATCCTCCTGCCTCAGTCTCCCGGAGTGCTGTTTACTAACAGGAATTACTTTTTTTTTCTTACTTTTTAGCATTTATATGACCTCTGAGAACCAAATTTGTTTATTAGCTGTGCTATCTTGGCGAAGCTGTATGATCTTTGTATCTCGGTTTCCTCACCCACATGGGAACAGTGAATATTGCTCTCGCTGACTTAGTGTGAGGACTACCTGAGGGTGGTAGAAATGTTAGTTTATCATAAGGAGCGTCATATGAGAACAGAGTTGAAAAGCTCAGAGTGCAGATCTCAAAGTTGTTGAACATGATGGTAGGACACTCTGTTCTAATACTAATTATTAGTTATACTAATAACACCAGGTGTGGTGGTGCACGCCTGTGATCCCAGCCCTGGAGAGGGTGAGGCAGGAGCATCACGGCAAGTTTGAGGCCAATCTGGGCTACATAGTGAGTTTAAGACCACACTGAACAACGTAGCGAGATCCTGTCTCAAAAACAAACAAGTTGCAAAACAAAACAAAGCAAAACAAAAACCTGTAGTCTGCTGCTTAAGATTTACGGTGGGCAGCACGCCCACCTTACAGCGTTGCGGATGTCTGGGATGAGGAGGGAGAGTTCTGGAGCGTTCCTAAGGGTGACGGAGAACAGTATCAGCGGTTCAGTAAAAACAAGTGTAGCGTCCATGCCTCTCTTTCATTTCCCCGTGTTGGTTCTCGGGGCCTGAGTAGCACTTTTACCAATTTCAGGAACTGATGTCCAGCTACTGCATGATGGTCAGTGTGTGTTACATTTCAGGATCTCACACACTGCTGCCTCATCCTTTATTCTACCCACGTAGGAGGCCAAGGGTCTGGGAACTCGAATCATCAGTGGCTTCTATAATCGGTAGTAATCAACTTGGCTTCTATATCTGGTCCATCTTCTGCTGCTCTTCTCCAAGTCTCTCGTGTTTGTTGTCCTTTCTGCTCATCCCAGATCCTGCTCTGCTGCCCCTGACGCCATGGCCGGGACTCTGCGGCTCTGCCTCCCTTCTCCATCCTGGTACCGCTCCTCCCTCCTCTCTCCAGGCCCCTCCTCCTGTTATGCGCGTTCTTTGAGACAAGACTGCTGACCCTCGGACCTTGCATTCACTGATGAGTCTTACGTGGCTTTTAATGTTTTAAATAACATTATAGCACCAGATCTTAAAAACTAAAAGGAACATGTAGTAGGTCGCTGGGATGTGTGTATATTTGAGGAAAGGAAAAATAATTTCAAGTTGTAGCAAGAGATAAATTAGCACAAAGATGTAAAACGTCAGTTAAATATAGACCTTCAAATTTTTTAGTAGCTTAAGCACAGTTATATAACAGAATATTTAATAGGTTAGACTTTAATCTTTTTAATCTTGTTTATTTTTATGTGGCCATTTACGAACTAGTTTTGTTGATGCTATGTTGTGGTTACCACTGTTTCTATTAGCTGTGAGGCTAATATGGATTTCTAATGAAACAGTGCCAGAGTATTGAACTTCTGGTTTCTTTGTCTCATAGTTAACTATTTATAATATTAGGGAGCTGTTTAAATTGGTACTGTATTATTTTCTTATAGCCTGCTAATAGTTGCTATAATAACATGGCATTTTTATTTTTTTTGATTTTGAGACAAGGTCTTGCTATTTCAGGCTGGCCTGCATCCTGCGGTGATCTTCCTACCTCAGCCTCCCAAGTGCAGGGATTACAGGCGTGCACACCTGGCTAGAGTTTTTTTTTGGTAGCGGGAATTGAATTTAGGACCTTGTGCTTTGCGTGAGGCAGGCGGTGGCACCACTGAGCTAAATCCCCGGCCCCCTGGCTAGTATTCTTTAAAATTGAGGATAAAAAAAGAAATCTATTTTGAGTTTTGGTATATAAGAATACAACTTAGGTCAGGGATGCAGCTCAGTGATAGAATACTTGCCTGACATGCATGAGTCCCTAGCATTGAAAAAAAGAAAAAATACACATATTTTAAAAATTTAAAAATTAAAAATGTCCAGTCTCAGATTCATCTTTTACAGCTTTTGTGCTGGGGTAATGAGCTCAGCTTCTCCCAGCTTTGGAACGCAATGACCCATGGATCACTCTGCGGATCACTCTGCGGATTCCTGGGCGAGGGCGGTGTACATGTACGTGCCCAAGGCACCACAGCAGCCGCCTCCAACAGGTCTGTGCTCCATCCCCGTGAAGGGCTCATCCTCCTGAGGCACCAGGCCTTCATTCCCTTCCTCAGCACTTGTCCACTTGCAGGGCTGTTATAGTTGGGGCTGCTGTCCCTAAAACCCTTTCACGTGAGAGAGTTTTAGACCTCATTTGAGGCTCAGCACGAGAGATGCACTGTACAGAAGTAGGAGTGAAGAAAGACCAGCTGCAAGTTTCTTTGTGGGTCCTGTGTTCTCCTCAACTAAAATATATTACGAAAAACGATCGTGTAAAATCACACTTACTCCCAAAATGTTAGACATGCCGTCTGCTATTCGTTATCAGTCTTCTTAGCAAAGATCATACCTTTTTGGGGAGGCTGAAGAGAAGCTTTTAGGAATTTCGAGGCCAGCCTGGACAACTTAGTGAGGCCTTGTCTCAAAGCAACAAGGGTGGGCTGGGGATACAGCTCAGGGCAAGAGCGTTTGCCTACCATGTGCAGGGACCTGGGTTCAATCCTCTGGCACTAATTAAAACAAAACCATGCTATTCTTTGAGTCTTCGCGTGTGTGTAAGTAACTGAAGTTTCAAAAATGTAGTCTGTGGAAAAATCTGCAGCATAAATGCCTGATGTTCCCCTAGTTTGCCGCACATTGAATCGATCCAGCAGGTGTCTATGGTGGCGTTTTCTGTGCAGGCTTCGTGCCAGGCACAGGACCCACAAGGGTGAAGAAGACCATCACCGTCCCTAGGGTGTTACAGCTTAGTAATGGAGAGCAGGAGGGAGCTGAACACTGTACGGTGAGGTGCTGCATCGCGGAGGTCACTTGATCTTCCCAAGCTCCCGTCCTTCTGATCAGTGATGCCGCGTAGAAGTTGGTAGGGTTAAGCGTATAACCAGTGTGAAGCGCTTGGCTTGGCAGTCAGCACAGCGTAAACGGGGCAAAGTACAGTACAGGAGGGGAGCGGCATCTTACCCAAGCTAGTTGGCGAGGTCAGGAAAAGCTTCCTGAGGAAGAGGTGACCGTGAGCTATCAGAGTTCGGAATGGTAAAGATGACTGCTTGGGGTGAGATGGCTGTTCTTTGTTACCTGGTATTTTGAAATGATAATGATAATAATATGATTATTGTTTGGGTACTGGGATTGAATTCAGGGCTCTGTGCATGCTGGGCAAGCACTCTGTCATTGTAATACAGCCCAGTCCTTTTTTATTTTATTTTGAGACAGGGTCTTGCTAAGTTGCCCAGGCTGCCCTTGAAATTATGATCCTCCTGCCTCAGCCTCCTGAGTGCTGGGATTACAGGTGCATGCCACCACACCCTGTTCTAACCTAATATTAGAGTGTGTCGTTAATATGTCAGTATGTTGTATGTCATAGCTCAAGACATGAGAGGTGATGTTCCATAGCTCTATTTTTGTATTATCACTAATTTTCTTTCTTTGTTCCAGAGAATTAAAAGTGGTAGCGTTATTGACTCAGTTAAGACAATCTGCGTGGGAGATCATATCGAATCCATAAATGGAGAAAATATAGTTGGATGCCGTCACTATGAGGTTGCTAAGAAGTTAAAGGAATTAAAAAAGGAGGAACTCTTTACTCTGAAGTTAATAGAACCTAAGAAGGCATTTGGTAAGTTGGTTGTGTGTGCGTGTGTGTGTGGAAATGAACACTGTCACGTATCACGTGTGCTTTTAATATATCAGTAAGTCATCTTATCTAGCATATCCGTTAAGAATGCAGAAAATGATAGCACAAGGAGACATCCGTTAAAGGAATCAAAAAAAATCAGATTGCCTTGTGGAACAATGCTGTGAAAAGAGGCTGCAGACTCCCCAAGCCAGATGTCTGGTGGCGGACCCTGACGCCCGTCCCAGGCTCGGAGTACAGTGTGCTGCGTTGTTTCCATTTTGCTGAGCAGTGAGCTTGGGATGCACTCTGTGAGCCGTAATAACTACTGCTCATGGGCCTCTGCAGCAAAAAATGTAAATGTACACAGAACTGGTATTTGAAGTGGTTACCCAGAGTGTTTTTTTTTAAACAGAAGAAAAGCATGCACATTTTCTTTCATTCATCGGTGCTACAGCTTTCTAGAAAAGTTGTCAGGGCCCACAGCAGCAGATGTGCTTGAAGCTTATGCTCCACTTTTAACATAGGAGATCTGTTGTGGGAATGCCATAGGACAAAGAAGAAGCATTTAGCGTTTCCCAGGGTGACACACTTGGAGAAGGTATATATGTGGGAAAACTAATGACAAACCAGGAATATCTTGGTACCCTTTTTCTGTGATTGTCCATTTGAGTGCTAATTTTCCACCTTCTGGTCCATGGAACTTTACTGGGAGAGGGCATTTAGTGCAGATCTTCTTTCTCAGGTAAAGGTCCAGTTTATTAGAATGTCTCCGCCCCATATGCCCAGTTGTCACATCCTGCATTGCCTTTATGTGTCACCAGATAGACCCTGGAGCAACCAGAACCGGACTCTGGGTGGCCTGGGGCAGTTGCTGCTCTCAGGCATTACAAGCACACCCACTGCCAATTTTGCAGCACTCTGCAGGGCCTAATTTCACAGGCAGGACAGTGCGCATAATTTGGAACGTTTCCTTTCATCCGATCAGGGGCTGCTGACACATCGTGTACCTAGAGTGCTTTAAAGGCCTCTGACACCCACCCTGTCCCTCCTCTGATGTTTTGCATGGGTACAAAGTGACTGCTCTTGAAGGGACACCTGGCACTTGCTGCTCCTGACCCTGGCAGCTGTATTCCAGCTGTTGTTTGAACCCCCAGAGCCCTCTCACCAACGCAAGAACGTGCCAGTCTCCCTCTCCCCAGCACTATTTTAATAAACGGGATGAAGCCTTGTGTTCACCTGAGTCAAAACGTCCTCAGCAGAATCACGCCAGGCTTGTCTGGCAACCGATCTACCCACTCTATTTTCCTCCCTTTGCTCCCAGAATGCAAATACTCTTTCCTGTTCATTTCTATGGCAAGACAGGGGCCTGGGGAGTGACATTTTCTCAGCCGGTGGGAGACACACAGATCCCGGCTACTTTTATGGAATTAGGAGTTTTTCTCTGCTCTCATGGGATTCTGGGCCATTTAATTGGAATGCAGGGTGGCTGCATTGTTTGTGGAAAAGACAGAGTTCCACAGAAGGTGTAAGGAAAGGGTGCCTTAAGCTGGGCATGGAGGCGTGTGGCTGTTAGCCCCACAATCTGTGGGGCTGAGGCAGGAGGATCTCAAGTTCAAGTCCCACCTGGATAACTTAACCAGGTCCTCTTTCAAAATAAAAAAGGGCTGGGGAGGTAGTTCCACCCTTGGGTTCAGTCCCCAGTACCAGTGGGGAAAGAAATCAAAGCAGAGGGTACGTGTGGCAGTGCGCCCTCTGCAGGACAGTGTCAGAGCCACCCTTGCAGCTACTATGATTGTGATTTTGCGGTACTTCAGCTGTGCTCCCTGCTCACGTAGCACAGCCAGCACCCTGCACGCTTCTCTCCAGCAGCTCCCAGCCTCAGTACTGGGGACTGAAGCCAGGGCTTTCACACTGAGCTACAACTGATCATAACCCTTTTTCATTTTTTAAAGAAAGAACCTCACTAAGTTGCTCAGGAGGGAGTTGAATTTGAGATCCCCCTGCCTCAGCCTCCCAGAGTGCTGGGATTACTGTGTAGGCATGCACCACATGCCCTTTTGAGATGGCTTTGTTTGGCTGTCCAGCTCCCCAGGTAGCATGGTATGTAAACTGGTAGGGTGGATACAGGTGGTTTCAGCTAAATGGTTTTATTTGATTTAGATTCTTGGTAATTTGAAGAAGGGAAAAGAAAAAATATGAGAAAAGGAAAAAATGGAAACATAACCTTTGTAAATAGGGAAGGGTGGAGGGGGTGAAGGGAGGGCAGGGAATGGGGAATAAAGAAGAACCAAGATATATCATGTAAAGGTACAAGTTCCCAATGATGAATGTAACTGTACCGTATACTTAAAATGTACCGGCAAACTCAAAACCAACAGCAACAACACAACAAAAAGCTATTTTCTTCCGGGCGTGGTGGCGCATGCCTGTAATTCCAGCACTCGGGAGGCTGAGGTAGGAGGATCGCTGCGAGTTTGAGACCAGCCTGGGCTACATAGTAAGTTCCAGGTCACTCTCAACTACATAGTGAGACCCTGTCTCAACCCTCCCCCCACAAAAGCTATTTTCTTAGTACAACTCTAGGAATATAGTATCTTCCTACATTTATCTCGAAGGCATAATCTACCTTCTTTTTCTGTTTTTTCCTGTTGTATGTATGTAAATCTTTTTTTTTTTTTTTTTCCCTGTGTTTCCGTATAAGGTTGTACCAAGTTGCTGACAGTCTTTTTTTTTTGTTTGTTTGATACCAGGATTGTACTCGGGACTTTGGGTTTGCGAGGCAGGCGGTGGAGCCACAAATCCCTGGCCAGATAGTCTTGAATGTTCCAGAGGTCACTGTATTCAGCTATTATTATTCTATGATTAGATTTTTCCCTTTAGTGTCAGAGGCACGTTCAGAAGTTTGCATGTTTATGTACTTCACTGCTACCGACCTACTCTGTGTTGCCTCATGAGTTTAATGGACTCATTTGTAAATCACCCTGGGTAAGGTTTTTCTAATAGGGGCATTTTATTTCAGAATCCCAAATTCTGTTGGTGCTGTGGATTAGGATACCTGGTCTACAAGGGCTAATCAAAAAATGTAGTATGCGTTTAAAGTAAACAATTATTCCAGTACACAACACATTGCTGTGAATCCCCCAGATTCCCTTCTCCTACCTCAGGCACCCTTACCCCATCCTTCCTACCACTGTCTGAAGCAGTTCTGGAAGTCCTCTTTCGTGAGTGTCTTTATGAAGCGCGAGCAAAACACGGTGCGCGCTGCCAGTGCCATCCGAGGGAAAGCCAGACTCTTACAAACGTCAGTGTGTCCTCATCCACCTTGTGCCCTGGATCTGGCACAACAAAACTTCTGGGTTTTCCCCGGGCTCAAAGTGACCAGGGAAGGTAAATCTTGAGTCAATTCAGAACATGGAGGCGGCCATGACAGCGCATCTCAAGATCCTCAGGACAGTGGGCTCCAGAACCGCTTCAGAAAGTGACAAGGATGGGATAAGGGTGTTCAAAGCGAGGGGACGTTTTTGGAGGGGGATTCATGGTACTATAATGCATAAATAAATTCACACTACCATATTTTTTGATCGCACTGTGTACGAGCACATTCCATTCTGTGGGTTGATTCTGGGCTCTGGGTCCCAGCCTGGGAGTTTCTCTCTCAGAGCTCTGCTGCCCTGCTTGTCCTCCAGACCTAATTCTGCTGCTTTTCTTTTTGCCTCTGGGATAAAGGCAAAGCTGGCTTGTTCCTTACCCTCTGGCTTCATCCTAGTGCGTAGCTCTTTGCTGCACAGGGAGTATATATCAGGAGGCTCTTAGGAGATCAGGCATCCCCCAATTCTTTCGGTCCTAATCTTGTGCTCTGTTTCCTTCCTTTCTTCCTGTGTTTTCTAGCATTATCACTGACCGAGAGCCAAAAAATTCAGATCTCACAGTCTTTCATGATTATCTACTGTGTTATCTTGAAGTCCCACGAGGGAAAGGGCCAGTCTGAGTGGGGCAGAGTTTTCTGGGCATTCATGTGGGCTACTTTGGCAGGAACTGAAGCATTCCCAGGATCTTACCAGTAGCCACACACTCCAGTATTTTGACATTTTTCTGCCAACTTTCCCGAGGATTTAGCCAGGGGAGGCATGCGAACTGTAACCCACAATACAGCGGTGCATTACTTTGCAATGACATAACAAGGATGTAGGCTGAGCCCAGTTTCTTTGTGGCACGAGGAGTCCTCATTGCCTGCTCTTACTGCCACTTGTCCAGCCCAGTCCCAGGAGTATATGTGTATAAGTGAAAATTCCTAGAGAGCTACAGAACAAACATCCTCTGAGCTAAGGGAAAGGCATTTGTTGGAAGACACCAGGTAGGTCTCAGAGAGAGTTGATCCACCCTTGGGAAAGGCAGGAACCTTCAGGGATGTGTGTTTCAGGAACCTCTAGTGGCACTGGCTTGATGGACTCCCAGTTCTTTTCTGTCTTCATGTCATTCCACTCAGGGTTCCGACTCCCAGGAGAGAGGGGGGAACTGACTAGGTCATCGGCTCATTTTGACAGCAAGAAAGGCAGGCCATTATCAGTCAGTGCTCACTAGAGAAACAGATTTAATGCAAGACACGTAAGTATATTAGGATTTACGAGGTAGGCTTACAATGTCTGCCCAGAGTCGGGTGTGGAAGGGTGCTAAGGGCTGTCTGTGCGCTGCAGATCCGAGGGATCCGGTCAGGGGTTGAAGGCTGGGAGGTTGCTGGAGTGTCCGGGGTGAGTCTGTGTCTGTACTGGGAGACTGAGGGGTCTGCGCTGGGAGCCAGCAGATGCTGGCCAAGGTGAAGGCGAAGACTGGAGCTCCTCGGAAGAAACAGGAGCAAGCCTCCCTTCCTGCTTCCTCTTTATCCCATTCAGGCTACAGACCTACCGGCTGGCGCCAGTCACACCGGGGCGTAGGGCACCCGTCTTCAGGAAACCCCCAGCCACACCCAGAATGTGATGATCCCGTTCAGTCAGGCCTTTCTT